CCCCCCCCCCCCCCCCCCCGAGGGAGAAGCAGCCTTGCTAGGCCACAGATAAGGACATTGCAGCCAGTCCTGAAGATACCTGGTAAGCTAGGGTCAGATGGAAGGAGAGGAGGACCTCCCCCATCAGTGGACTCAGGAAGGGAGCAAGGAGGAGATGGGGGAGGGGATTGGGAGGAAAAGAGAGAGGGGGCTACGGCTGGGATACAAGTGAATGACCTGTGATTAAAATAAAATAAAATAAAATAAAATAAAATAAAATAAAATAAAATAAAATAAAATAAAATAAAAAATTGATCCTGACCAAAAAAAAAAAAAAAAAAAAAAAAAAACCCAAACCAAACAAACCCTGGTTTGTTTTGGATAATTACTGTATTTTAAACCTTACATTAGGTATTTTTGCACATGTAGCTGTATGATTATTATATTGTTAGGCCAGATGATTGGTTCATAGTTTTTAATAGCTATTTCTTGATTGCATGTAAATACCAACAGAGTTAACTATAGAAGGCTGTGGATTTCTATTGCCTTTAATTCTGTAATTATTACATGGACAGTTGTGTTAAACCTCATGAGAAACATTGTAGTTAATTTCTTTCCTATGAACTCATCTTTTTAAATGTAACAATACTGCAATTATCTAGAATGTAGTACATTCAAATTTTATGTTAATCATTTTTACAAATGCCAGTAGAAAATACTTTAACTCAAGAAGTTATGAATCAAATGGTAAATACAAGTCAGGTCCTGCAATTTAGGCAGAGCATCTGGCTTACAAAGCAGTGCTGATGAAATGAAAGGTCCTTATTACTGCAGTCCGGAGCTAATGACAAGACTGCCGTGTGCTATCGATTCTTCATGTAGGTCCAGATGAGCAGGTTTGGTTGATAATTGATGATAACGATGACAATGAAACTGATTTATATGTGTGTTGTCAGTTCTTCAAAGTACTTTATAAGTTTGTGACATGAAATAGAGTTTGCCTTAGCAAAGTGAAAATATCCTAAACATGCAAATCAAAACAGCCACTTCACTAGGTACCGTCTCACACAGCCAGGTGATTCAGTTCCTTCTGCATATTAGGGTAAATTTGCTATTTAAGCTGCTGTGTTTAGGGATGATGTTCTGCATGGGCTAGCTGGCAGAACATTAGATCTGGAGCTAGGAAACACGGCATGTTTTTTATATCCTTTGGCCTTATCCCCTGGTAAGCCATCTGTCAGCTCTGTGCCAACTTCATCTAATAGAACAGACAATGAAATTGGAATTGTCATCACACCCACCTTCAACTAGACGGGACATTTTGTGGGGCAGTGTCAAGTTCTCTGTACTCTCCTTTGCTCAACAGCAAACTTGAGAAGGTAATATGTTTAGAGCATAAAAGCAGCAATTGGCTGTCCTTGGAAGAACCAAAAGTTTATTGTGTGTTAGTAGCTTCAATTCTCTTTTTATTTCATCATAATCACCTTAAATATGGTTTTAAGTCCTTCTATAATAACTTCAAAACTAAAACAAATCATGGATACTAGTAGTGAAATATGTTTCATAATTTGTTCTGCTACTCAGATTTTCTAAGTATACCTGATGTTAATACAGAGTTGGGTTTTGTTTGTTTGTTTGTTTGTTTGTTTTTTAAGTTGATGAGATTATTTTGCATGTGGGTCAGGGTTCCACAGAACTCAGTAACAGATTTCTTGTCTGGCATGTGTGAGGTCCTGAGTTTACCATCACCGCTGATAACTGCTGTGGGGTTTTATGTTATAAAATATGGTAGTTTAGCTTTTTAATACAAATATTCAAAGAATATGAAGGTATATTATCTGGACTAATAAGTAAGACTAAATATGCATCTGCTTTCTAATTTTAGGGCACTAAATATGAAGAACTACAAGACCGCCTCGGCAGACATACTAAAGCATTTGGTTTTCTAGAACTCACTAGAACACACAATGTTATAGAATACATGGGTCCATGGCATTTAAAAGAGATTTAAACATGAAGCTCAACTCTAACATCCTTCCTGATTTTAATGCTGTTTAATAAATAGTGTTGGCTAATGAATTAATCTGGGGTTGCTGACTCAGCTATTAAAAACAAAGAAATCATGAAATTTGCAGGCAAATGGAGGGCATTAGAAAAGATCATCCTAAGTGAGGTAATTCAGACCCAGAAAGATGTACATGGTTTGTACTCACTTATAAGTGGATAATAGACCTACAGTACAGGATAACCATACTACTAACCACAGACCCAGAGAAGCTTAAGTAACAAGGAGGGTCTGAGAAAAGATGTCAGAATGTCACTCAGAAGGGGAAATAGAAGAGACAGCATAAGTGGATAAAGAGAGGGACCTGGGCAGAAGTTTTGGAGTGAAGAGGGAAGCAATGGTGGGGATCAGATGTGGGGAGAACGGGGGGTTGGCGGTGAAAGGTGAGAGGGCTGGGAACAAGAAGGGAAACTGAGGGGGGGACATCTCTTTGTCAAGCTGGAAGCCTGCAATGGGGCTCCTGGGAGGACATGGGCGTGACTCTAGCTGAGACTCCTAACATGGGGACATGAAGACTGAAGTGACCACCTCCTAGCCAGGCAGGACTAGTGGAAGGAGGGGAACAACAACCCATGGACAAAACCTGTGACCCAAATATTACCCTGCCTACAAGAAGTGCAGGGAACAGAGATTGAGAGAAAGGACAACCATTAATTGGCACAACCTAAGACCCATCCTATTGTAGAGAGCCAGCCTCCGACACTAATAATACTCTACTATGCTTGCAGAAAGGACCTAATTTGAATATAATCTGGACAGATGCTGGGACTTGCAGCCAAGCATGGGGCTGAGCTCCAGGGATCCTATGGAAGTGTTGGGGGAAAGATAGAAAGACACGGAGGGGACAGGAACCTCACAAGAAGACCAACAGAGACAAATAGCGCAGTCCCATGGGGGCTTTCAGAGACTGAGACATCAATTAAGGAACATGCATGATCTGGACCTAGGCCCCCTTGCACACATGTAACTGATGGGCTGCTTGGTCTTCATATGCCTGGTGAATGGAGGGGATGGGGGTGTTTCTAACATAGACTCTATTGTCTGCTTTTGGATAATTTCCCCCTGGCAGGGCTGCCTTGCCTGTCCTCAGGGGATGAAGGTATGCTCAGTCCTGATGTCATTTGATTGCTAGGGAAGGTTGATATGGGGGTTGGGGGTGGGGAGTTCTCCTTTTCTGGGGGAAAAGGGAGAGGGGATGGAGGAAAAGGGAAAGGGGAGGCTGGAAGGAGAGGAGGAAGGGGCCACCCTTGGGATATAAAATAAATAAGAAAATAAAAAGGTAAAAAATTACATTGACAGTTACTTGGGTCTTATATCAAAACTTTTTAACATCAGAATCTTGTATCAAAACTTTCTTAACATCAGAGCTAACATTTTCGATTCACTTCTATGATATAACTCACATATTTACAGCATTGTAGTGAGATGTATGCTTTAATGTGAATGGTATCATGCCTTCTATTTATAACTTGGGCAAAGCCCAGGATTATATTATTTTATCCATGTTAATGCTGGCATGAGCTGAACGGTGGTCTTAATGACAGCAGTGCAGGTAAGCTATATCTTTTGTAACCCAACTCACTAGCTGCCCCAAACTCACTCTCTCGCAGCATCTTACCTCAGTCTTGTGTTTTAAAACAAATTTATTAATTCTAGAGGGCTTTTCTACGACCAGGATAGTTTCCCAATAATTGAGACAGAGAACTATTGATTTATTTAACAAGCTTTAAGCACATAACTGGACAGGTGCGACTCATGCTAATTTTCTAAGCTAGTCTGGCTACCTCTCAGCCACACGCACTCCCCAATGTACTGGCCAATATTTGTCCAGTCTGGGCTGGATCTGCTCCATTAGGCCATATCTCTTCTCTCTATCTTTCTCCTTTCTTCCTCCTCTCTTTTCTTCCTGCCCTCATAGTCCCTATCTGAAACCCCAAGCCCAGGAACCTAAGCCCTGGCTACTTCTCTTCTGCCCAATTACAAGCTGTCAAGCCTTTTTTCTTAACCATCAGAGACCATTGGGGAGCAAAGTTTACATAACAAAGACTGGTGTAGATGAGAATGCAACCAGGTCTTGGGGCCCAGAATTTAGCATTTGTATACATAGTACTAGATCAACCCCCAAAACTACTTTTGAGTTCAGTTTTAAAAGATGCAACTGTAATTCGCTGTAGCTCACAAACCACACAGTTAGACTGGTAATTGTATAGATTTTAATAAAATCTACAAATACAAACCTATCATATCAAAAGAATACATGTATTGTGGGGATTGTTTTGTATTATCTATTAAGTACACAGCTACAAATTTGTCTTGGCTGTACAGAACCAGTAAAGCCATTCCTGTTCTAAAGACTAATGTCACCAAACAATCACATTACATTACATGCATGAGGTTGTCTTTAAGATGTTCATCATGTTGAGGTCTTTGATCCACGTGGACTTTAGTTTTGTGCAGGGTGATAAATATGGATCTATTTGCGCTTTTCTACATTTAGACATCCAATTAGACTAGCACCATTTGTTGAAGATGTCTTTTTTCCATTGTATGGTTTTGGCTTCTATGTAAAAACAAGTATCTGTAGGTATGTGGGTCTATTTCTGGGCCTTCTATTCAGTTCCATTAATCTATGTGAGTACCATGCAGTTTTTATTACTATTGCTCTGTAGTACAGCTTAAGAGCAAGGATGGAGCTACCTCCAGATGATCTGTTGCTGTACAAGATCATTTTGGAAGTTCTATGTTTTTGTTTTGTTTTGTTTTGTTTTTCTTTATGAAATTGAGAATTCTTTCAAGTTCTGTAAAGAATTATGTTGGTATTTTGATGGGAATTGCATTGAATCTGTAGATTGCTTTTTGCAGGCTGGCCATTTTTTCACTATGTTAATCTTACCTATCCATGAGCATGGGAGATCATCTGATATCTTCTTCAATTTCTTTCTTCAGAGGCTTGAAGTTTTTTTCAAACAGGTCTTTCACTTGCTTGGTTAGAGTCACACCAAGGTACTTTATGTTATTAGTGGCTATTGTGAAGGGTTTCCCTAATTTCTTTCTTGGCCCTTTTGTCTTTCGTATACGGAAGGGCTACTGATTCTTTTGAGTTAATTTTGTATCCAGCTACTTTGCTGAAGGTGTTTATCAGCTGAAGGTGTTTTCTGGTAAAATTTGTGGTCACTCACGTATACTATTATATCATCTATGAATAGTGATACTTTAACGTTTTTCTTTCCAATTTGTATTCCCTTGATCTTCTTCAGTTGTCTTATTGCTCTAGCTAGAACTTCAAGTGCTATGTTGAAGAGATATGGAGAGAGTGGGCAGCCTTGCCTTGTCCCTGATTTCAGTGGGATTGATTTAAGTTTCTCTCTATTTAGTTTGATGTTGGCTATAGGCTTGCTGTATATTGCTTTTACTATGTTTAGGTATGTGCTTTGTATCCCTGATCTCTCCAAAACTTTAAACATGAATGGGTGTTGGATTTTGTCAAATGCTTTTTCGGCATCTAAGCAGATAGTGTTTTTTCTCTTCTGTTTGTTTATGTGGTGGATTACATTGATGGATTTCTGTATACTGAACCACCCCTACATGCCTGGGATGAAGCCTACTTGGTCATGGTGGATGATATCTTTGATGTGTTCTTGGATTTGGTTTGTGAGTATTTTATTGAGTATTTTTACATCAAAGTTCATAAGAGAGATAGGTCAGAAATTTTTTGTTGGGTCTTTGTGTGGTTTTGGTATCGAGGTTATTGTGGCCTCATAGAATGAGTTTCATAATGTTCCTTCTGTTTCTATTTTGTAGAAAAGTTTGAAGAGTATTGGTCTTAGCTTTTCTTTGCATGTCTGGTAGAATTCTGTGCTGAAACTATCTGGTCCTGGGCTTTTTTTTTTGGCAGGGAGACTTTTGAGGATTGCTTCTATTTCCTTGGGGGCTATAGGACTGTTAAATCTATTTACATGATCTTGGTTTAACTTTAGTAATGGAATCTATAAAGAAAATTGTCCATTTCGTTTAGATTTTCAAATTTTGTGGCATATAGGCTTTTGAAGTAAGACCTAATGATTCTTTGAATTTCCTCATTGTCTGTTGTTATGTCCCCCTTTTCGTTCCTGATTTTATTTCTCTCTGGCTTTTAGTTAGTTTGGCTAAGGGTTTGTCTATCTTATTGATTTTCTCAAAGAACCAGCTCTTGGTTTCATTGATTTTTGGAATTGTTTGATTTGTTTCTAATCTATTGATTTCAGCCCTGAGTTTGATTATTTCCAGTCATCTACTCCTCTTTGGTGTGTCTGCTTCTCCCCCCGCCCCAGGGATTTCAGGCATACAGTTAAGTTGCTTATATGAGATGTCTCAAACTTCTTTCTGAAGGCACTTAGTGCTACGAACTTTCCTCTTAGCACTGCTTTCATTGTGTCCCATAAGTTTGGGTAAGTTGTGCCTTCATTTTCATTGAATTTTAGGAAGTCTCTAATTTCTTTTTTTTTCCCCTGATCCAGCTGTCATTGAGTAGAGAGTTGTTTAGTTTCGATGTTGTTTAGCCAGCCATTTACCTCTGCTATAAAGCATCTAACAACATTGTTCAGTACTTGAAACAAGGTTTGTAGATGGTAAGTGGACCATGGAGGAATTAACTAATCCAACAGAAAAAAAGTAGGAAATGGGTTTGAACTCATTGGCACAGGACCCTGAAAATGCAAGTATTAAGACCAACAATTCCTAAATGGGACCTTATGAAATGCTATACGAAAGAAACCATCATTTGAAACCTCTCTAGGCAGCCTACAGAATGAGACAAAAACCCCTTTCAGTTCAGGTTTAGTAGACATTACAAGAGAATAATGGGTTGATGTCCTGCTACTGGTACACCAGATGGTCGCCTCCAGCATAGCTCAGGCCATTCTTGCCAGCGGAAGACTGACTGACTTCCCCAACCCTGTACAAAAAGTATGTCTTGACTCACACCTTATTTTATGCTTAAGCATGAATAAAATGCCGGATTTTCTTTTCCTGGATGCTCAGTGCGGCCTGGCATAAAAACAGCCCAGTGTTCAGCTTCTGCTTGGAGAAATATTCTTTGCTCTTTTGGACGTCAGGCTTGATGATGTATTACTGCCAGGTTTCCAGCCAGCTAGACACTCTTTGTCATGTTTTCTCAGGCTGAATTAGTCTCAGAATCTCACCCACAGAGCAGCTAAGGGAAAGATCATGTGAAGCCTCTGGCAAAGGCCATCTTTTTTTGCCAATGGTAACGAGGCCCCTGAGGGAGATACTCTCTCTAGTCTTTTAAGATTTCACAATCCTGAGCAATGGTGTGCTTGGGATCTAGTCCTAGGGAATGTGTGTGGGTCCCAATCCTCCTTGTTTCTTTTGTGGGTGCGTGGATCCATGGCAGATGACACGAGTGAGGAGCCACAGAAGCACCAGTTACTTAGCAGTGTGTTTTCAGTCAATCTACTGTAACCCTGAAAGCGATGGTCTCCGAGGGGCTCACCAAAGAGAAGTCAAGAGAGTAAAAGAAGAACTCTTTTGTATTAGTCTCATATCTTTGAATTGATCATCTGGCATAACAACTGTAGCTTCAAATTTTGAGGAAAGATACCTGTTTTTAGCATGTCCAGAAGTCATCTTGCTCTCAGCAGGGCAAATCCACATGTCACTGAGACAAAATCCACCACAGGAAGGGAGGAAGAAGAGCAAAAAGGGAAAATATTTACTAATAATACACCCAACAGAGGACCAGCGCACTGTCTAACCCTCGTCATACACCTGACAGAGATCCGGTTCACCTCCTAACCCTGGTCATACACCCGACAGGACCAGCGCACCTCCTAACGCTCATCAGAGAAGCTGCTTCTTGCAGTAGGTGGTAATTAATACAGAGACTCACACTGGACAGTGTTTAGAGATGGGGAGACTTTGGGGTTCTGAGCCCTGACTGAGATGTCTCTATCATACCTCTCCCCCATAGAGTTCAGTGATCATCTATGTGAGGTGGAGGCAGAAAGACTGTAGAGTCTGGAGGTGATGGGTGACTCTAAGGAAACGGTGTCTTCCAGACATGACAGATGCACATATATGAACTCACAAGACCTGCACAGCCCAGGCCACAAAACTCTCAGCACACTCTTAGCCACGCCGAGAAGCTATTCCCCAATAACAGCTTCCAGAAGAGGGACAGTCATTTTTCTTCAATTACCATTGATGCTGGACTTATCAGGCACATTCCAGGGCAGGCATCAAGCTCAGGAGCAGGTGGCCAACACAAATTGGACTCCATGGTTGTTTTTTTTTTTTTTTTGTGTGTGTGTGTGTGGCTTTCTTTTGTTTTTTTTATTTATTTAAGAGAACACAAAATTAGGTGGGTAGGGAAGGGGGTCTAGGAGTGCTGGGGGCGTGAGAAAGAATATGATAAAAGTATGCTGGATGAAATTCTTGAAGTATAAATTAAACAAACAAACAAACAAACAAACATGAGGGGAAAGAATCCTAAAAGCGGCTGGAAAGCTCAGCTGCAGTACAGCATAACTTTTGGAAATAGTCCCAAGATGGCTGTTTCTACGAATCCTGCTTGATCTTTTTATCTGTAAGTGTTGCAGCTCATACTTGCTACAGCTATACGTGTGCATATAAATGGCCTGTGCTAGCCATGGATCTTGGAACAAATTGGCCTTTTGAGACTCTTAATTTGCACTACTTAGCAGAAAGAATTTATCATGAAGACTGAATTAAAAGCATTTTCCAAGTTGCTTTAACAGCCTATTTCATTCTTATAATCAAGTAATTTGTTATAAGTTGATTTATTAATCTGACTTTTTCTTATTTATTGCTACATTTTCAATTGTGGTATTTTGTTTAAAATCAATGCTCACTGTGTGTTGGGAGCCGCTCCATGTATCGTTCTATTTAAATATGTTTGTGCTTGTTACTCATTTGTTACTTCATTTGTTCATGGAGCAAATGAAGAAATGGAGGCGAGAAAGGTTGAATCTCATGTTGAAGACAGGACAGCTAGCAGTGGGAAAGACAGGCATTCTCATTGCTTAGAGCTATCAATTTATCATTATATTGTGTTCCCACACAAATTCTTCAATTTTCCACAATTAAGAGGATTACTCAATGTTTTTAAGTTATAGTATTCCCTGTACAGCCTGTGTCAAAATTAGAGATCAGGGTACTATAATTTATTTACTTGTAGATAATCAAATATAAAATGCAAACCAGTCGAGAAAAATTGAGAAGGCCTGCTTCCAGTTTTTCCTATGGCATATCTTATGAAGGAAATTGATTAGAAATTTATAGGATATGGGTAGAAAACAATAATTATTTCATTTAAAAATCTTCAAAGGAAATTTGCAATTCTTACTCCATAGGGAGAGACATAAAGCTCCATATTGTCTAAAGTTTTTGATGTTCAGAGTTCTGTATCTCTTTCTCATCAAATGCATATCCATCGTGGGAGAGCGGTTTATTCATTTACCCTTCATTTACAAACAGCAAATGACTCCCACACTCCAGGCACTGAGTGTTTTCTGGCACTGAGATATAGCACAAATGCGGAAGGAGACACCTGGAGTTTTAGAGGCCAAGAATTTCCTAATACCACCCCCAGACAAAGTCTTTGCAAGAAAATGTACATACCAATGTCCTATTGTAGAAGAAATTCTTAATGATTGATATAAAAATGAGCCCAGGAGTATACACTAAAAGACCAATAATCCAGCCTGGTAGGGTTTATTCCAGGAATGAGAGGTGTTTAAAAATTCATATAACAATGTATTAAGGAGGAAAAAAAAAAAAAACATTGCTTCGATTAATGACTGAAAGGCATCTGAAAAATTTTCAACGAAGAGTTGCAGAGCCAAAATACATTAGCTAGCTGGGTCCTCTGTGGCAAAGGGAAACTGTGCTTCCGCATGGGCTCTTTTGAGACAGAGCAGGTTTCTCCCCTACGATCTAACCTGCTGTGTGGCTCTCGGAGTTGTCTGTGGCAATCTGTTTGGGGGACCAGTGCAAACATGAGCCTGCTCTGGCCGAGTGCTTAGAGTGACAAGCTTTTCTTACTCTCTTACCCAAATCTTCACGCTCCCATTGGCTTCCGTGAAACCATGAAAGAGTGATACATGAGCTTAGAGTCTGATACCAGATTTCTCATAGTTGGTGACACTCTAATATCTATTTTAAAACTGGTTTAATCATGTATAAGGTCTTTAGAACCAGAGGTAAAAAATTATTTCGATATTATTTTTATGGGGGAAAATTACTTGGAAAAAAAGTTTCTTAAACACTGATTTTTTTTTTTTTTTTAGAAATTTATTTACGTATCTTGGATGGAAGCCGTTGATAGAGTTTATGTGGAGTTCCTGAAAAAGAAAAGGAAATGTCTTAAAGCTGCGAATGCTATGTATACATCTCCAATGTAACTTGACAAATACGCTGTGTACAATGTGTACGCAGTAATATAAGTAGAATACGGATTTTATCTACAGAACAAACCTCCTAAATGATTCCATTATATAACAAAGCAGATTAAAAAACATCTTACAAAACTAAACTGTATTCGTCTTTATGTTCTCTTCTTACCTCTTTTAAGGATTTATTTATCTACTTATTTTTGTGTGTGTATATGTGTGTCTCTGTGTGGATTTCCTCATGAGAGTGCAGGTGTCCCTGGAGGAGGGCATTGGGTTCCCTGGAGCTGGACTCACATCAGAGGTCGATGCATGCTGGCAACCAAGCTTGGGTCCTCCAAAAGAGCGCTACACACTCTTAACCTCCGAGCCACCTCCCTAAGCCCCTCCTCTTAGTTCTATACCCTGGTTGGTGCTAATGAGCTAGAAGCATCTTAAAGATGCCTCTACTTATCTGTCAGAATGTACACACCTTTCAAATCAGAAGCCGAAGGCCTACTCCTAAGACGGGGGGCATCTTCATAGGCGTCGTAGTTGTCAAAATAGAATTTCTCTCTTCTTGAAATATAATTCGATTTTGATACACCGTTGTTGTGACCGGAGACTTTATCGCTTAAACTCAAATAGTCTCTCTGAAGATTCCGCATCTCAAATTCCAGGGTGTCCCTCTCGTTTTCTACGCTTCTCGCGTAGTTCTCCAAGAGCACCTTGTCTTCTGTGAGCCGACTGATGCTGTTCTCAAACTTGGTGTTTTCGTGACTGTGTTTCTTCAGCTCTTCCTTCAGGATCTGGTTATCTGTCTTTATCTCCATGACCATTTTGGATAGCATCTCACACTCCTGGCTGATTTCCGCCAAGTTGTTCTTGTAAATGCTGGCCTCGGATTTTGCGCTTTTGATCTCTTTCAGGAAATTCTCTTTCTCGGCAGCCTGGTAGCTCTGAATCTCCTTGAGCTTTCTCTCCAGAGTCTGTCTGGCAGAAGCGGATTCCTGTAGCGCGGCGCTGAGATTCACCTTCTCCGTCTTAGCCGCTTCCAGGATGTGAAGGAGCGAGTCCTGTTCGGCTTTGGCCAGTCTCTCCTTCTCTTTGAGCTGCAGCACCTCTAGCTGGCTCTCCCTCAGGCCACTCTCAAGCGAGCCTTTATCCTTCAGGAGCTGGCACACGTTCTTCTCCAGGATCTCCCGTTCATCTTGTATCAACAGCGCGTTTGTTTTCATCGCTTCCATTTCTATATTCATCCTGTTGTTTTCGTTCTTGAGAAGGGCCATGTCGTTCTGGGATTTGTGCTCCTTGCCTTTGAGGTGATCGATCGTCTCCGTCAGCCGTTGCGTTTCCAAAGAGAGCTGACTGTTTTTTTCCTGTAGCATTTTGTGGTGGCCTTGGAGGACGTTATACGTGTTGAGGATTTTCTTGAGTTCGCGGAGGCAGTTGCTCCTGTCCTCTTCTGCTTTGGTTAACGTGTGCTGGAGAGCGCTCTTCTCGTCAGCCAGAGATCTCAGTTGCTTCTCGTAGGCCTCCACCCTCTGGATCAGGGACTGGGTGGTAAAGATGAGGGGATTCATTTTGGTCCTGAGGGCCAGGTTTTCATTCTCCAGCTCTGCCACTCTTTTCTGATTCTGCACGGATTCTTTTAGGTAATTCTGTAGGTAATGAATCTTGGCAACGCACTGCTCAGGCAAGCAACCGGCTTCCGGTGACTTCTCATTTACAGATGTTATTGATCCTTGGTTTGCCGGGCATGGCTGCCCCTCTCTGTCTTTCGTTTCGTTTTCCACTGGGTCAAGGAACGACAGAGCGTGCCTCGGAGCTCGGGAGTGGAATTTTAAATCTGTATCTTTATTCTTGTCACTCCTTTTCCCCCGGCATATTTCACTCTTGTATAATTTTTTACATTTCCTACAAAAATTCACATGCAGTTTAGCCACTGTCTCCCTGAGCGGGAGTAGTTTGCATACCAATGCCTCTAATTCGGAAATTCTCTTCGACTTGATGTCTTCACTTAAGTTACCGTCCGTGCCTTCTTCCCGAATAAAGTTAAGCTTTGAGCTGTGGATGGGAAACAGCTTCTGTTTACCGTGACCGTGAGTGTTTGCATCACTCTGGAAAGTATGAAGTTCATTCGTAAGTGCCAGTTCCCTGTCGTTCGACTTCTGAAGCTCTTCTTTCATGTGTTTGATGGAGTGGCAAATGTCATCTAAGTTTTCACAAAATCCATGCTTCAGAAAAGGGACAGTGATTCTGGATTTCTCCGGAACCGTGGTTGCAGCTTGAGGCGTCACAGTCTGAGGAGCCTGTGGTAGATACTGGTTAAGACTGAAACTCTTCATGGTGTTGGGCTGTTCCGAAGTGCTCATAGCTCTGCTGAGAGGTGGACTCTCTGCTGCAGTTCTCAGGCTCTCCAGAGCTAACACATCCTGGGCGTGTATCTGGGGCGGAATGTTTATGCTTTGAGAGAGACCATTGCCATTATTACTACTGAAGTTTTCTTCCATTGAATAAAGAGTCTCAGGATCCTCAAAGTGATTACTTCTCTTGATAGAAAGTATTCCTTCTTGCTTCTCATTAGACTAGGAGGAATAGAAAGTATACTATAAATACACTGTCGTTTGCCACAAAATTAAGAATATTTGGGGAAGATTATTGTGTACAACCATATTGAGCATTTTACCTACCAATCAAAAAAGCCTGTGTGTGTCACCCCATCTTCCTAGCTGGGCATGAACAAAGAAAGTAACACCACCTGTCTTTAGATCCACAACCCTGGCCCTCATAGAGTGCCGTAGGGCTGCCCTTCCTTCCTTAGAGGGTGAAATACGTGGGCCCACCTCTTAATTTCAGAGGTAGAAATGTAGTAAATATAGGGTGCCTCAAGAAAGTATACTAGGTAGGTAGGCCACATGGTAATCAAGGAAAACAAGTGTTTCTGCTACTGGGCTGTTAGCCTTTGCTTCCATTCCTGGTTTTGAAAGGGTGATTTTAGGACCACAACTGTCCTGGAAATGTAATTTTCTAGCCAGCATGGGCAATACTGGCCATTTTGGTTTGGAGCTTTTTTTTTTTTTTTTAATAGAACTCATCTGTGGTTTGTCAATCCCCTCTGGGCAGGTAGGCTACCCAAACTGCTTTGAATTTTGCTTGGGAATTTTTAGCACCTAGATGAAAGTGAAATGACTCTTACACCCTCCTAAAGAAACCACATTCTATTGTAGAGGTAAACATACTTCTTTTAAGGTTTTCAGGGCAGATATTTCCTTATTTTCATCTCTGATCATCCATTGTTCCTGTGAAGAGAGAGAAGGCAAAGGTGAAAACAAGCCAGTTCTAGGGATGGTTCTTTTCTTAATTTTTATTAATTACAGTTTATTCACTTTGTATTCCATCTGTAGCTCCCTTCCTCCTCCCCTTTCTCCCTCTTCTGATGTCCGTCCTCTTTGCCTTTCTGAGCGGGGATTGAGCCAGAGTCCTCCCTTCAGGGTGGTGCATCCTTACCAAGCCACAGAGGAAGACAATGCAGCCACTCCTAATGAGATTTGATAGACTAGGATCAGAAGGAAGGGGAGGAAGTCCTCCCCTGTCAGTGGACTGGGGAAGGGGCATGGGTGAAGAAGAGGGAGAAAAACAGGAAACAGGACAGGAGTCTACCACAGAGGGCTTCTGAAAGGCTCTACCCTGCAGGGTATCAGAATAAATGCTGAGACTTATAGCCAAACTTTGGGCAGAGTGCAGGGAATCTTATGAAAGAAGTGGGAAATAATAGGGATGGTTCTTAACTACCAGAAGGGAGCAATGATTTGTAAGAAAACATACCAAATCCTTTTCAGGCTGTATGCTGAATACTAGATTTTTTTCTGAGTTAAATTGTGGGTTTTCTACTTCAACAATGCTCTTGTTTAATATTTCACTGATTTCAGACTGGACCTTTTAAAAGATAATTTGAGAACGTTAGAATTTGGATTAGGGTTTGTGAGTTTGTACATATACAGAAGCACAACATGGAAAGACACCTTTACATTTCTTGCACATAAGAAGTACCTTGCCATTAAGAGAATAAGTTAAATTTATTTATTGTAATCTCTGCCGTTAAGGGACTCTTAAGAAAAGACGGTGTTTGTGATAAAAATCAGAAGCATTTAGTAAAACAGTAAAATTTTGTGAACTATATTAATAATGTTAGAGGCTTTACTTTTTACGTTGTGGAGTAAATAAGACATCTTTTGACTTCCAGCATCCAAGATCCAGGATCTTCAGCGACTTGAGGTGATAGATTTACATATCTTCTCAGAGCCGCATTGAGTTCCAGTTTAAATCTTAGAGTGTGAGTCTATATATAGGAAGAACTCTTTACTTATTGCAAGGTGAGGATCAAGGCCAAGGTTCTGTCCATAGGACAGAAACAGTCAATCACATCTGCCCCAGGCAACACCTTAAATACAAGTTCCTTTTCTTTTAGCCTCACAGCCAAGAAGATAGGAAATTGTAGTTCATTCCAAATAAATCCCAGCCTGAAATACATTGTCACCTCTAGCGATTAAACTCTGCATCCACTTAACAACTGGCTACTGATGGTACCTTAAACTAGGAGATTTCCTACATATGGCTACAACAATCATACCATGCTAACATTTTGTAGAGTTTGCATCCGCAGAGCCTGAAATGACTCCAGCTGAAGCTGAAGGACCTGTAATGAGATTTAACAAAGTGTCAAATGTTGAAGGACCTGGACAGAGTTTTAACAAAGTGTCAAATGGAACACTTTCAGGTGGCCATACATAGTCTTCAAATACTATGACAAGAAGAAAAAAAAAATCCCCCAATGTGGCTTGTTTCCAAAAAGGATCACATGAGTCAGCTGACTCATTCTTCACTATGCTGCTGACATTTCATGCATATTCATGAACATTTTGGGGGTAGAGGGTTGTGTGGAATCTCTATGCACATGCATGAATGTTTTTGTGTGACTACTGTGGAAGGTCCAGTCTTCATTTAGGAAGGATTTTGCACATATTTAAATGAAACAGACTCACTTTCAATGCTGATTGTGGTTGGATTTGATTTTCTGGTCCTGATATGCAGCCATATTCTAAGGAGCAAAATAAAGAACATGCATCATTGAATTCCTAAATTTGTTTTTGTTTGTTGTTTGGTTTTTCAAGATAGGGTTTCTCTGCCTAGCACTAGCTGTCCTGGAACTCGCTCTGTAGACCAGGCTGGCATTGAACTCAAAGAGATCCACCTGCCTTTGTATAGGGAAGACTGAGATCAAAGGCATGCAACACTACTGCCTGGCTTAATTCCCAAATTTATTTTGCAGAAACTGCTACAGAGAGCATTCTCTTAACCCAGATATTGAGACAGAGTTAATGAGAAGGTTTGATACTTACATTTTTCCTAAGTACACATTAAATTTTTTTTTCTAGGAGGATTAACCATGTTTTAAAAAATGTATTTATTTTTTTATTAATTACAGTTTATTCATTTTGTTATCCCAGCTGTAGCTCCCTCTCTCATCCCCTCCCAATCCCACTCTCCCTCCCTCATCTTCTCACATGCCCCTCCCCAAGTCCACTGATAGGGGAGGTCCTCCTCCCCTTCCATCTGACCCCAGCTTATCAGGTCTCATCACGACTGTCTGCATTGTCTTCTTTTGTGGCCTCATGAGGCTGCACCCCTCAGGAGGAGGTGAATAAAGCCACTGGGTTCATGTCAGAGACAGTCCCTGTTCCCTGTTCTATTACTATGGAACCCACTTGGAGACTGAGCTGCCATGGGCTACATCTGTGCAGGGGTTCTAGGTTATCCCCATGCATGGTCCTTGGTTGGAGTATCAGTCTCAGGAAAGACCCCTGGGCCCAGATTTTTTGGTTCTGTTGCTACAGTAAATTTAATCATAGCTCTCACTTTAAGAAGCACCCACCTGTGGGGACAGGGAGATGACAGAGCCAGTGAAAGTGCTTGCTCCTCAACCCTGATGATCTGAGTTTGATTCCTGGAACCCGCGCAAAGATGCAGCGAGAAAACTGAGTCCATACGCTTGTCCTCTGACTTTCACAATGTCACCATGGCATGAGTGTGCACCACCTCCCGCAGTTTATTACTTAAAAATAATTTAAATATGTGGGTTTTGGGGCATTGGGGTATGGCTGCCATGCACGCATGTGTGTGTGTGTGTGTGTGTTGGGGTGGTATCTCCAGGATTAAACCCCATTTGTCAGGTTTGGCAGCAAGCACCCACACCCATTGAGCACCTCAGCAGCCCAAAGTATTATTATTGTATTTAAAGATAGGGGATCTCAGGATGTAACCCTGGAGAGCCTGGAATCCATTATGTAGACAAGGCTGGCCTTGAACTCACAGAAATCCTCCTACTTCTGCCTCCTAAGTGTTGGGATTAAAGGTTAGGGGTCACCACACCTTGGTTATATGTATGTGTTTGTGCATGTGTGTACACGCATGTGCATGCGTGTGTGTATGTATAATATAGTTTATATTTTACAAAATAAAAAATAGGAAATATTTACTTGGGGTCATGGCAATGCTTTCACTTTTGTAAGAAACCATTCTGTTTCTGAGCCACAGACTTCATTCTTTTTTTTTCCTAAAAAGGATGAAACAAAACACAACAATCCCCAGGCTACTAAAGACTCTTGGTAAATGGACTGTCTAGGTCTTGTTTTTTTGTGAAATTACCACGGAGATGATTTCCCTGACTCATGGAGACAAGATGAATGCACAGTGCATTCTATCTGCCGAGCTCTCAATCGAAGGTCTGTAAAGAACAATTTGTGCTTTCTCTTGGGGAAGGAGGTTTGTGTGCCCAGTCCTTTGGCCCCTTTTGGCTATGTAAAAATAGGACGTAGAACCGGAACACTTCCTTATCAACAGCAGAGTCTTCACAGTGTTTGGTGAACTCATTCTCCTCTTGTGGGAAGACCTTCCCCATTGCAGAGTCAACGTTCTTTGTTCCTTTGTGCTGCTCACACGGGTGTGCCCTGTGATACCAATCTTGACACACTCACTCCCATCTCTGTCCCCTCAGAACAGAGCCTAGGGGTCTTGCTGCTGCAGCATAAGAGAAGCAAATGCGTTCAACTGATGTGCACTCGGGAGAGAGACTGGCTGCGAGGGTAGAGAGGCTGATTGCTGGTGCTGAAGCTGAGCTTGTTCTCTTAGTTCTGTCACTAAACTTTCTTTTCCTGCTCATCTGTTGACTACTATGTTTTTCTTGGCTGTTCTAAAACCAACATGTCAACAAAAGTCCTCAGGTTGACAAGCAGACTCCTTAGGATGGTAGACAGTGGAGGTCTCAGGCTCAACACCTTCCCAGAGAAGAGATTATGTAGTAATTCAGCCATGTGTTAGGTAACTTGCTTGTTTTTAAAATTTTTTAAATTAAGAAGTAAAAACTTCCTAGCTTCCTGGATGAAATGACTAATTGTGACTGAATGTTCTCCTAGGCTGACACATCTGTCCTCAGAAGCAGGTCATCAAATAGGTCTCCAAATCCTCGCTTCTGGCTTAGTGATCCATCAGATGGTACTGGAGTTGGTTGTCAAGTGCAGACATCTCCTTTTCCATTTTGGTCCTCATTACTGACAAGGCAACATTAGTTCAGAACCTGGAGATGTGTAGCCAACTGAAGAATCCTACCTCAGTTGGAGGACAGAGAGGGATAGACAGCCTACCTGGAGATCACTTATTTCTGCCTCTCATTGGGAAGCTGAGACCAAGGTAGGAAAGTGTTTCAAAGACTTTTAGACTCTAAAGACACCCAATGTACTTCCATTAGTCATGAAAAAAAAAAAGTCACCTAGAATCCTACCATCCAGAAGCAGCCACTGTTATTAGAGAACCCTTCAGCTCTCTCTCTACATGCTCATACACACACACACACACACACACACACACACACACACACACACACACACACACACA